AAAAAAAAAAAAAAAAAAAAAAAAAAAGTGGCAAGAAATGCCTAACTGATAAAATATAGTCCTAACTTATCAAAGTTTTAAATACTAAAAAATTAAATGATAGCAATATTAAAAGCTACCTGGTAACACTGCTTGTGTGCACTCACATGTGCACAAGATTGTAAGTCAAGTACTGTACCACTGAACTATATATCTTTCACATATAACACTGCCTTTTAAAAGAATTGTATCACAGACAAAAATCACAAGCCAAGTGATTATTTAAGAACTTAAAAATAGCCAGGTGTGGTGGCACCCATGTGTGGTGGCACACATCTGTAATCCCAGCACTCAGGAGGCTGAGGCAAGAGGATCACTCCAAATTCAAGGCCAGTCTGGGCTATTTAAGGAGTTTAAGGCCAGCCTGAACTACATAGCAAAATCCTGACTCAAAAAACCAAAATATGGGCCGGGGATTTAGCTCAGTGGTTCCGCTGCCTGCCTCACAAGTGCAGAGACCCGAGTTTGATCTCCAGGACCAAAAAGAAAACAAAACAAAACCCAAAATAAATAAATAAAAACAAGTAAATAACTTTAAATGGTCATGAATATAAAACATTATAAGCAAAGCTAAAAAATACACAATTCTGAAAAAGATATTAATAAACGTGCATGTGTATGAATTAGTTTCTAACACACAAAAGGGTCTAATAAAAAGATGTACTACTGCCTGGTGATGTTTTTAGAAGCAAAGGTTTCCAGGAACTAAAGTAAAAATCTTGTAAGAAAATAAAATGTAACTATTGGTAGGGTGATATGCCTCAAACTCAAGAGAACTTTTTGAGAGAGTAAGTGGCAATGAAAGGCTTCCCTAAAGCCAGGAGATTAAGAGCTAGCATGCTGGCTTCCCAGGACAATTCAAAACTACCACAAACTAAGAGAGAAAAACTTAGTATTAACAGCAAATTAGCCAAAAACAAAAACAAAACAAACAAACAAAAAACCCTCATCAAATTAGCCTACAAAGTAATTTACTTTAATTCCAAACAAAAAAGATTCAGGAAAAAGTCAGCAAAGAAATGTAGTTCAAAACTATGGTCTAAGAAAAACTTGAAAAGTCACATAAACAAGCATTTACACGCTCGTACACACAAGGAAATGCATGCCTCTCAGCTATGTGCAGAACTGTTTGCCAGTCATAACATTGTGAAAAACTTCAACAACGAAAAGTGATTATCGGGGAAAAGGGACTACAAAATAGGAAAAATGAACAAATGCTTGAAAAGTTTGCATAATATAATTTCATCTGTTTTTAATATTGTGTAACTTTTGTATATGGATATGTATAAAGATCTGAAATTACATAAAGTCAATAAAATGTTTACATGATTTATATGCCAAAATTTTCACCTCTATTGTCATCACTTTCACCAGGATTACTACAAAATTTTGGTAGAATGTCTCTTCATCATCACTCTTGTTCCCCTCTAATCAACTGTCCACACAGTAATGATCTTTTAAAAAAGTAAATCACATCATGCCACTGCCCTTTAAAAAATTTGTCAATGCGATCCAAAAATGGGCATCCGAAATGAACAGACATTTCTCATACAAAGAAGTGAAAGCAGCAAGAAAATATATGAAAAAATGTTCCACATCACTGGTCATTCGAGAGATGCAGATGAAAACAACACTAAGATTCCACCTCACCCCACAAAGAATGGCTGCTATCAAGAAATCACACAATAACAAATGTTGGCGGGGTTGTGGGGAGAAAGGAACCCTCCTCCATTGTTGGTGGGAGTGCAGACTAGTGCAACCACTATGGAAATCAATATGGAGATACCTCAAAGAGCTTGGACTGGAGGTTCCATTTGACCCAGCCATCCCTCTGTTGGGTATCTTTCCAAGAGAACTGAAAGAATCATATCACAGAGAAGTATGTGCACCCATGTTTATAGCGGCACAGTTTGTAATAGCTAAATCTTGGAAACAACCTATTTGCCCATCCGTTGGAAACTGGATAAAGAAGTTGTGGTTTTTCTATAAAATGGAATATTACTCAGCCATAAAGAGCGAGAGAATAGATTCATTCAT